CGGTCCCCTCACCTATGAGGACTTTGTCAGCATAAAGGGAATTTCCTGAGCTGCCTTCTTCATTCTATAACCTGTTCTGCCAACCGGAATTTGAGTTTTGTTTATCTCTGGGTTCCCACACACACTTTTGGCCTTTTAAATTTTTTTACTTTTAAAGTCAGAAAGAGAAAGACAAATACCATATGATATCACTTATATGTGGAATCTAAAATATGACACAAATGAACTTATCTACGAAACAGAAACAGACTCACAGACATAGAGAACAGACCTGTGGTTGCCAAGGGCGGGGGTAGGAGAGGGATGGATTGGGAGTTAGGGGGTTAGCAGATGCAAACTATTATGTATAGAATGGATAAACAGGGACTTCCCTGGTGGCACAGTGGTTAAGACTCTGCGCTCCCAATGCAGGGGGCCCGGGTTGGATCCCTGGTCAGGGAACTGGATCCCACATGCATGCTGCAACTGAGAGTTCACATGCCACAACGAAGGAGCCCGAGAGCCGCAAATAAGGAGCCCGCCTGCCGCAACTAAGACCCGGTGCAACCAAGTAAAAAAATAATAATAAATAAATATTTTTTAAAAAAGAATGGGTAAACAACAAGGTCCTACTATATAGCATAGAGAACTATATTCAATAACCTGTGATAAACCATAATGGAAAAGAATACACAAAAGAATGTAGATATTCATATAACTGAATTAATTTGCTGTACAGCAGAAATTAACATTGTAAATCAACTATACTTCAATAGAAATTTCTTTTTACTTTTAAATTTCAAAAGTTATACATCATTATGGTAAAAATTTCAAATAATACATAAAAAATAAAAAGTATCTTCCTCTCAATCTCTTTCCTTGGATTATTCCTCTATCCTTCTAGCTATTGTTTCTGCCTGTACCAATACAAATATCTACAAAGTTTTTTTAATTTTTAAAAAGCGCCAGTGGTATTATAGTATGCATTATATATATTATCCTACAATTTACTTTTTTTTCACAGCAACTCAAAGAGGACTGATTTTGTTTTGTTTTGTTTTGTTTTTGTTTTTGTTTAACAGATGCAGGAGAACCCACTGTAATGGAAATACCATAGGTTATTTAACCAGGTCCCTGCTAGTGAACTTCAACTTGTATAATGTTTCTGTACAAAATACACAGATGACATAGAATTAAAATTGCTTGGCCAAAGCATATGTACATTTTAATATTTGAGATATTGCCAAATTACCTCCCAGAATGATTAACCCAGAGTAGACTCCCACTAGCATTGTGTGAGGGCTTACGGACATTTTCAACATGCTTCGAATCATATCCCAAATTTTAGCCCGAGCCCACATCTTCCTTTAAAACTCCAGACTTGTATATCCATCCTGTATCAATACTTGACATCTCACCTTAGCTGTCTGAAGGCACCTCAAACATAATGTGTCCACAACAGAGCTCCCGTTCTTCCTTAGCCTTCCCCATTTCTGCTTCTGGGAACCCCTGCTTCCAGTGGTCCAGGCCAAAAACCTAGAGTCACCTCTGACTCTTCTCTTTCTTTCACAGCCCCCACTGGTCAATCCTGCTGGCTCTCCCGTCAAAATGTATCCAGAATCCTCCCACTTCTCATGACCTCCACTCCCACCACCAGGGTCTGACCCACCGTCCACTCTCACCTGAATTATTACAAAAGCCCCTTCCTTGGACTCCCTGCTTCAGCCCTGTCCCTCCATGATACCCCCCACTTCCAGCAACCAGAGTGATTCTTTTAAAACAAGAGCAGGGAATTCCCTGGTGGTCCAGTGATTAGGAATTCTGCACTTGTCGGGGGAACTCAGATCCCACAAGCCATGCGGCACGGCCAAAAAAAATAAAAATAACCAAAAAAGGAATCTAAAAAAATGGTACAAATGGACTTATTTACAAAACAGAAGTAGAATCACAGATGTAAAAAACAAACTTATGGTTACCGGGGGGGAAAGGCGGGGAGAGGGATAAATTGGGAGATTGGGACTGACATATACACACTACTACATATAAAATAGATAGCTAATAAGGACCGACTGTATAGCACAGGGAACTCTACTCAATACTCTGTCATGACCTATATGGGAAAAGAATCTAAAAAAGAGTGGATAGATGTATATGTATAACTGATTCACTGTGCTGTACGCCTGAAACTGACACAACATTGTAAATCAACTGTACTCCAATAAAAATTTTTTAAAATAAAAATAAATTAAAAATAAAAAAGCAACCCATAAGTCAGATCATGTCCCTCCTTGACTTGAAGCCTTTCAAGTGCTCCCCATTTCCTCCAGAGCGAACGTGGAAGCCCTTAGAAGGCCCAGCAGGACTTGGGCCCCATTTCTTCTCTGGCCTCCCTCATTCCCCTCTCCCTCGCTCAGCTCCCTCTGCTGCAGCCACACCTCACTGACCCAAGCTCATCTAGGTTTGCTTTTCTGGGGGAGGAATTGGGCAGGGCTGGCTCTGAAGCACAGCTGGAAAGTTAGCATTCTTGGGTTGATCCTCCCCGCTCCCCCACGCCTCTAGAGAGGGTAGGGGTGGAGGGGCGAAGGGAAGTGACCTAAGGTGGGCACCAGCCCTGACACTAGGTCTCACCTGTCTCCAGTCATCCCAGGAACCCCCTCCCCACACGCCCCCTCACACGCTCATCGGAGACAGGATGGTCAGCCGGGGGTGGGGAGACGCCTGAACCCCCCCCCCCATTAGACAACTTGTCTCTGGGCACACGTGGCCCCTCTGTGCCTGCTGAAAGCCCAGTGAGTCACCAGGATCTCAGGGAATCCTGCAGAGGTAACTTACTGAGAGCTGGGTTTTAGGAGGGTAATCTAGGCATCTGGCCAGGGATGGGCCCACAGAGAGCCCTGGCTGTTTAAGGGCAGAGGGAGCCAAATCCAGCAACTGCGGTTCAGTGCAAAGCCTTTGCTAGGCCCTCCCAGCCCTTCAACACACAGGCGCAGTCACACACACCACACAGGCTTACACACAGCAGAAGTAATGAAGCAGATGACCTCCCAGCCTGTGAGAGGGAGGGAGGGGCAGGCAGGAGAGGAGAGTCCTGGGGAGCCGCTGACCCACAGGTCAGAGCAGCAGCCTGGTTTCTCTGAGCAGGGCGTGGCCCAGCTCTCTTTTCTGGCAGAACCTGGCTGCATGTGCCAACTCTGAGTCAGCTGTGCCCATCCTGCCCAGCAACCCCAGGCTCAGGAGAAGGCCTCAGCTCCTCTGCCTGGGCCAGAGGCCAGAAGAGGGCCTGCGTGAGACAGGTTTGGTGTGTGCAAAGGAAGAGCCAGGCTGTAGCCCCCACCAGCGGCATCAGGTAATGCCCTGGTTTCGAGCTTGGGGCTCAGAGCTGGGAGGTGATGTGAATAAACAGGAATGATACTTAAGATGAAGCCGAGTCAATTGCTGGTGTCAGAGTTTCATTGTGTCTCTGCCTGGGAAGAGGAGCAGGACTTGAGGAGGCTTAACTTGCTGATGAGTAGAGGGCCCTGCAGGCCGCTGGGGATGTCAGAGGTCCCAGGACTAGCCCCAAGGCCAGAGGAGGCCCCCAAAGGGCAGTCCTGGAGGCAGGCGTCCGGGCCTGGGAGAGAAAGTGAGGACAGAGAAAGGACCCCTCATCCTCCCTGTCCCCAGGCTGGGGCTCCACAGGGAGGCCTTGTGTGGACTTGTTCATCCTTGAGCAGAAGGGAAAGCAAGGAGGGTTTGGACAGGCCTGCCAGGGGCAAGGGCTGCTCCTGCTGGAGGGCAGGCCCACTGGGGACAGTGCCACACAGAGGGAAGCCCCCCTCTGCATAGGGGAGACATACAGAGGGAGGGAGCCTCTCCAAAGTCCTGACCCAGGCTCAACTGTCAGGATGGGAAGACGTGCTCTCTAGCTGGTTACATTCCTTCATGAGGTATTCAAGGCCACCTAGGCCTGCTTGTGCTGGGAGGAGGAGGGGTTGGGGTCCAACTGGTTCTGCCAGACTCTCATGTTGGTTTTATCAGCCCAGCAAGATTCACTGGTGGGCTCAGTACCCCGCATCCTGGGAGGTCTTCTGGGGGCTCTCCCAAGGGCCTTTCCCAAAAGTTGGTGGGCAGCAGGATCCTTCCAGGATCCTCCAGGACTTCCCCTGGGGGTCTCTGGGTACCTATAAAAAGGGTGTCAGGATTGCAAGAATTGATGGTGGGAGTGTGTGTGTGGGGGGGGGTCCATTAGGGACCCCTTGTCCAGACAGCCCCTTGGGAGGTCACCCAAAGAAGGAACCCTGGAGATCGCCAGGAGTTTGGGGTGTGAGGGGCTCAAAGGAGAGCTCTCTGCACCTACCTGCTCTAAGTTTTACGGCTTCGGCCCCAGCCCCCCGCCAAGGGCACTTCTGGGGTTAGAAACTTCCCAGCGAGCCGGGAGGGGACCCTTCTCCAGACTAGGTCCAGGCATGCCTCTCCAAGGACCTCCTCACTCACGTCCGTGCACCCATTTTGCAGAAGGGAAAGCAGACATCCGGGGAGCCGCGGCTGGCGCCTGGACTCCGAGGCTCCCTTTCGCACCAGCCCGGCTGGGCGTCGAACGTTACGCGGTCCCTGCCCCAGGAGGACTCCAGATTCTTTCGCGCATTACCCCAACCCCAGCGAGGCGCCCACAGGCAGGGAGTGGGGCCGGGCCGCCGTTGATAATGACAGGGTCCGCGGCCTGTGGGTGGCGGTGGCTGAGGAAGCCAGAGGGATCCGGCTATTTCTGGCCGGGACGCGCCCACAGGCCTGGGCCAGGGACGGCCCGGCTTCCCGGCCCCCACCTCTGCCCTCCTCCCCAACCCCCAGGAGGGGCGGGGCGAGGCACTGGTTGGAGGGCCCAGGGGGCGGGGGCGGGGGCGCGGGCGGGCGGGGGGCGGAGCGGAGTCCCGGGAGGACCTCCAGTGTCCTCCCTCCGCAGTCCATTCGGGTCCCTCCCCTCCTCTCGGACCCGAGACCGCCCGCGCTGTCGCTGCGGACGAGTGTCCCGCGGCGCCCCCCTCCCGCAGCGCCGTCCGTCGGGCATGGACTCGGGCCGGGACTTCCTGACCCTGCACGGTGAGTACTCGGCCGGCTCGCGGGGGGGACCCCGCCTGGGCCGACCTCGAGGAAAGCCGTTCTCGGCCCAGGGCGGGGGACCCCCGGTTCCTCGGCCGCCCTCCGCCCCGCCCCCGGCCCGCCCCTCGTCCCTTTTGTCGCACGGAGGAAATCTCCACCCGGGACTGCCGGGCGCAACCCTGGGCGTTTCCAGGCTTGTTCCCCAGACCCGGCCAGTGGGGAGAACAGGGGTGCGAGTCTGAAGATTTCCCTAAAGACGACCCCCGGCCCTGCCGCCTCGGGGACTCCCCCTCTCCCTATCCTAGTCACGGAAGGGTGGGCTCCAGGGTCCGGCGCGCTCGGAGGGACCGAGGAGGAAAGGAACCAGCATCCACGAATAACTGAGTTATCTTCGCCCAGTCCGGGCCGCCCAGAGAGGCTCCCCAAAGCCCAGGCGTGCCTGGACCGCGTCAGGCAGCGTAGGTGTGGCGGGGTGGGAAGGCTGGGGCGAGGAGGTGTGCGAGGTGAGGTCGGGCCGCGCCGCAGTAACTGCCCAGCGCAGAAATCCTAGTCAGCGACGCCCGGACTGGGAGGGGCAGCCCGATCGCCCCCATCTGCGCACCCTCCTGGCCGGACAGACCTGAATCTCAGCTCTAACTGCCTGCTGCTACCCGCCTTTGTCCAGCCGAGCTCTGTCTTCTCCGACCGACCGGCAAACAGTCTGGGCCAGCTCCTTGCCCTATAGGGGTCTCTCCAGGAGAGAGGGCAGCCACGGGCTCTGGACTGCAGGGACTGGAGGTCTCCTAGCTGCACGGGGCCCCTAACCTGGACCTGGAATCTCTTTGCTCCAGCCTGGGGATTCACCCACTTTTAGTGTGCTTTGCCCTCCCGCGCCCCAGGTCATCTGCCAGCTAAGCAAACCCTGCCTCTCTTGCACCAATCGCCGCTTAACCCGATCTCCCTCTGTTTTCTAGTACCTCTGGAGTCCTTTAGTGCCCACCACCTATCCACCTAAACCATGCATGGAGATAATAGAAGGGAAAGGAAAGGCAGAGCCCTCCATCTGTCCACTAGAGACCCTCTGGAATTCAGGGACACTTGGAGACGTTCCTTTCAGCCAGTGCCCAGTCTGTCTCATTTTCCTGGTTGGCCCAGACCTGGTCCCCATGGCCCAGAGAGACCTTGCTCAGTGTCCAGAGCTGTTACCCTCACACCAGTAGCCTCAAGGCAAACTCTTTCAGGGTCATGGGATCCCTGCCCTTCCCAGGGCTCCCTCTTCTCCTCTCAGGACAGAGGTGTCTCAGTGCTCCTGCCACCCTGGCAGGAAGGGCGGCTGGGCAGTTCAGAGGATCACAGTAGAGATTTCTGCTTTCTCTCTCATCATCCCTTAGCTAGTGCTGTGTACCCCGCAGACTGCCACCTCTTCCGTGCCAGCTTCACATTCAGACCTCCTACAAGCCCTCTGATCGCCTCTGGCTACAGCTGTATCCTCAGCTCATGTTAGAATGGGCTCCATCCTCAGGCATTTGTGCCTTTGTCCGGTCTCTGTCCCTGGGCAGCCCTGGTATCTTCCCTGGAGAGGAAGCCACGTGGAGGCTCAGTCAGCACCTCCCAGTTTTGTGGCATGGGCTTGGCAGCCCTGGTCCATCGTGTTTGAGACCTGCCTCCCAAGTGCCTGACAGTCCAGCTCTTCCTGCGGAGCTGGCAAGAACAGTGCGATCCCAAGCTGTCTCCCTGAAGGCCCTGCTGCTTCTAGCTCATCACCCAAAATTACGTCCCTTAACTGCCTTTTGTTCCCCCTGCAAACCATATCGGCAAGCAAGAATCTGTCAAGGAGAATTGGTGGTGGAAGGGTGTAGTCACTGTGCCCTGTGCTGTTCCAGGTTGTTTACACTTCCACTGGAGAGTCTGCATCTCTTTCATATTTTGGGTCCTCTAGCACTGGACACACTTTCTGGCTTGGGTAGTTGGGGGTCTGCTGCAGAAAGGCTCCCTCCATTGGCCTGGGGGGGGGTATGGGGGCCACCTAGATAAGAGATGTCCCTTGTGTCCTCGCCCCAGATGCATGCAGAGGCACTGTAGTATACAGACATGGATTATGGAAGTAGACTACCTGGGTTCAAGTCTTAGCTTTTTCATCTTAGACAAATCCCTTGACTTCTTGGTGCCTCAGTTTCCTCATCTGTAAAATGGGGGATAAGAACACTACCTCCCTCATGGATTGCAGTAAGGATTGAACGAGCTAACACATACAAGGCAATAATGAGAACAGTGCCTAGTACCAGCAGGTACAATGTTCCTACAGGAGGCCCACCCCCCCAAGTGACCACGTCATGTGAGTATTTTGTGAGATGAGGGGGAATAAGGTAGTCCCTAGCCAGGAAAAATGTGACCAGAACTGGGTTTAAGAATCAAAGGGCTCCTGGGGAATTCCCTGTCGGTCCAGTGGTCAAGACTCCATGCCTCCACTGCCAGGGGCCGGGGTTTGAGTCCTAGTCAGGGAACTCAGATCCTGCAAGACATGCAGTGAGACCAAAAAAAAAAAAAGAAGAATCAGGGGCTCCTTCTGGTGCTTCTGAAGCCCTCAGACTGACGCTGTAGTCCCCTGGCCTCCTTCCCTACCCTACTTCCTTTGCTTGCTCCATTCTAGCCAGGCCTGCACTGGCTTCTCCAGCACGTCCCCAGATGTACCCCAAAAGACCTAACTTGCCAAAGCTCTCCCCTCACTGAACACATCCACCTACACCTACACTAACTATTCAAACACTGAATCCCTCCCGCCCCACTGTAAAACCTGGCATGAGTAAAAGTGCAAGGTAGGGTGTAAGAGGGGCCTCATCTTGGTCCCAGGAGACCTGGGCTGCAGCCCTAGACCTGGGTTCCAGTCCTAGCTTTGCCTCTACTTACATTGTGACCCTGAGCAAGTCCCTTTGCCTGTCTGGGCCTGTCTTCTCATCCACGGGAAAGCAATACCTACTGATAGGGGATGTTGTGAGGATAAAGCACTAGTGGGCAAAGGAATTCTAGGTTGGCAAAGAAGCCAGTACCCCCAAGAGATAACAGTTCCAGATCCATCATAGCAATTTGGGGTAGCCAGACCCCTACCCTCCTCAATTATGTTTCAAAGCTGTCTGTCCCTGGGATTCCATGCCCACACAACACAGACACACACTGATCCACACTGATCTTAACTTTTTTGTGCCCTGGACCACTTTGGCAGTTAGGTGAAGCCTGTGGACCCCTTCTCAGGATCATGTTTTCAAATGCATAAAATAAAATACATAAAATAAAATACATAAGAATTCAAAGGAAGCAAATTGTATTGAGATGTGATTCTATCCATAGGTCCTCGGGGAGTCCTTGGCCCTCTGATTAAACCATTAAACCATCACGTGGTTTCTCTAAAACAGAGGTTCCCCTTACAATCAGCTCCCACAGCTCCAAGTGAAGAACAATATTTCTGTGCCCATATTCCAGCTCATCTACATTAACACACATTCTCATGATTTATTTTCCTCCGAGGTGTGACCTTAGGCAAGTCGTTCTGCACTTCAGTTTGTTATTATTGCTGTGCTTGTCTGTGCTAATAACTGGCTTTGCCAGTGACTCACTGTCAATGCTGGTGACTGGAGCTGCGGTGAGGCAAGTGAAGGAACTATTCAGAGGCGGAGCGTAAAAGAGAGGAGTGAGTCAGGCCTCTGGGTGGTGTCCTGACCTTGGCACACAGTAGGGGCTCCATAAATAGATGCTGGGTGAATGAAAAGCAATACGTAACTTACATGAAAGGGCCCACTGTTCCGAGCACACTGGCAGCACAGTTTCATATGGAGTTGGAGTCCTCCTCACCTATTTATCAAAGCAAGCCTGTGTTAATGGACTCATTTTTAAGACCAGCATTTTTTCAAGAATTCCATTCGCATTTGGAGCCTTGGAGATTATCCCACTCAGGTAGCGAAACTCTCAGAGAAGGAAACAGGCCTCCCTGAGGTTTACATGTGAGGCAACAGCCCGTTGAGTCACAATGGATTCGTTGAGGAACTGAGGTAAAATATTTGGCGGGTTCCGCTGTCCGGCCCGGGCTCCATCCCCGGCTTCTTCCTATCCCGCCCCACCAGGTTGTCCGCTAGACTCTGCAGCCCCTCAGGCTGCCGCCCGGCCGGGCTTACCTCCCGGCTCAATCTTGCCCAGCCCTCCAGTCCTCCGCCAGGCCTCCAGCTGAGTGTTTAGAATTCGCGGCTCAGGCTCCGCCCCCTGGTAGGACTGCCTCCACAGTCAAGGTTCCGCCCCTCCCTGCCCGAAAACAAAAGGCCTTTGCAGTGAGGGACCCTCCCCCGGTTTGTCCCATGGGCCCTGGCTCCGCCCCCGGCCGTCTTCCTGGCTACCTCTGCCCCACGTCGCCTCGCAGACTCGGCTCCTCCCGCTCCCCACCTCTTTGGCTCTGGCTCCACCCCAGTCCGCTTTCTGGGCTCTGACTTTCACCACTGATCTTCTTCCCGGCTTATGGATTTGTCCCACTTCACCTCCCGGCCCCGGTTCCTCCTCCTCCTCTCCCCGCCTTGATTCCGCTCTCGCCGCACCTCCTGGGGGCATCGGTCCTGCCCCTCTGGAACTGTCCCTGCCTCCTAGGGTATGGCCCCGCCCCTTCAGCACAGATTTCTGTATCGCCCCGCCTCTAGAGCCGTGGCCCGACCCTTCACTGCCCCGCCCCCACGGGTTCTGCCCCCGCCCATCCACTCCAGGTCTCCGCCCCTGCTCCACTCTAAGGAGGCCGTTCCGCTCCTAGGGCCAGGGCTGCCTTCTGGACGCCACACTGTCCCGGGCCAGGCCCAGCGGGCGGCGGGGGCACTTCGGAACGTCATGCAGTGCCTGGGGGTCAGGCGCCGAAGCCGGAGCCAGAGCCGCTCCAGAGAGCTCTACCTGCAGGAGCAGAGCCTCGAGGTGGCAGCTCTCAATGAGCAGAGGCTGGGTAAGGGATGCAGGGCGCCCCCCCCCC